TCCTTTGGTTGAGGCAGCTATATATGTGAGGATGTACTAACGAAACATTATATATCATAAGAACTATGACTGTGAGAACTGTATAGATAGGCATGTAACAGCAACAACTTTTAATATCATGTCTATTTCACTTGAAGTCACATAAATTTTTTCTCTACTATAGAATATATGGATATAGAAACCTTAGTAGTTTTCTCCGTGCACATCTTTGTCGTGTTGTCGTCATTTTTTATCTTCGTCATTGTCTCTCCACATTTGTTGGGCGTGGCGTTATGGAACGAGCTCTATAACAAAGAGAATTCACTTTCGTAAGTTCTCGGGGTAGATCCAGTCTGAGTGATCTGATCAGGATAAATTGTCCGCGAGAGCTTAAAAGACTATCGACGTGAAATCGAAAACGTACGAGGAGGAAGTTCCGCGCGAAAATACGCGGGAAATGGCGATGCCGGATGCGCGTCGAGCCACTTATCGGCGCTCGTTGATCTTAATGACGATGTGTACCGGTCGCCCACCGATAGATAGGCAAACCGTGTCGCAACGATCAACAATCCCGTCCCTCTCGCTCTTTCGCGCCAGCTGATTTATCGACGTGCCCTCGAATTATATGCTGCTGCTCGACGCCGCGCGGCTTTCACCGACGACCACGACAACGACCACGACGACGACACAACGGCGACGACGACGGCGACGGCGTCGTGCTCCTTTTGTCTCTTCGAAGGGAGGTTTCGACACGCCGATTGTCTTCGCTTCTAATCGCGAGTATCGCGCGTACATATCGATATGCGTAACGACGCGACGGCGTGCCTGCGCGCTCCCTCGGCCTGCGTGTCCGTTTTATCGCGGTCGTAACTACTTCGCCGGGGAATGCGTGCCGTCTACAAAAATGGCGCGCAATCCGATCGGCGACACGACGACGTCGACCAACGCGCACGATCGGCTTCTCGTTGATTCGTTTGAGATCTGTCGGACTGTCCAATCGCCGACACATTCCTCCGGCCCGTATTAATACTCGTTACGTGAAACTTGTATCACTCGAGACACTCGGACTCGAAGTTGAATCTGAGTTTTGTCATATAAAGTCGAATCATATGATACATGTTTGTGTGCGACATACTTATAGTCACAGTTCAACTGAAAATCTCATCTAATTTTGAATTCAAGTCTGAGTGTCTCACTTGAGACGACTTGAGGCAAAAAAAGGACAGTTTCAAGTACTTGAGTGCCGCGACGATCATCGGTGACCAGCATTATGATATGACATCGCGTTTCCTTAACCTACATACTTGAATAATTAAGTACCAATTGATTGCATTCGAAAATTCGACCAATATGGGCAATGAAGAGCCAATGAAATACACGTTATGAAAGAAATACTCGAGTTATACCTTTAATAATTTAATTATTAGTACAGATGTTGTGCAGTCAATGGGAATCAACGCGACGAAGGGGGATTGTGACTCGGGAGAAAAGATAACGAATTCCCAGGGTTCCCCCCAGATAAGCATTGCGCACAGCTTCGCGCGACGTTGTCGTCGTAAATTCTCGATTTCGTAGCACCGAGTTCCCAGGACGCGCGCTCCGTTTTCTCCGTTCCATCCACCGCTAGCGGTTTCTCCGCGGCCTGCTGTAAACCGGCCTGCGATTAACGTTCGCAATTTACGTGCGGAAGCCGCGCGACGCGGCGTGCACTCGAAATGATTTATACGCGCTCCGTCTCCGCGTACGTGACGCGTCGTTTACCACCCGCTCCGGCGAAGATTAATTAACCCCGTGGCGTTTCGGGGAGAAACGTGCTCCGCCTCGGGCGCGGGGGCGATCGGCGGGCTCCGGCGACGACCGGCTTCGGTTTCTTAATCCAATTTCGTGGTGCATTAATCTAATTATGCCTAGGCATATGCACGTGACGTGCAAGTATGCCGGCCGGACCGCTTTCGCAATGCCGCTCGGCGCCCGGACGTCGGCGGAGAAGTGTCGGCAAGAAACCCGTCTACACAGGGTGTCCCGGAATCACCGGGCGATACCCTCCTCTCGTGAATAAGATATCCGAGAAGTCGCGAGATATCCGTTCAGTACGGAACAGTCTCGCGGTGGAAGCTGAAATGATTTTTCGCGAACTTTGGCATCTATCGCGAAAGAGACGTCGCGTCCGAGCAAACGAGCTGCCGCTTTGGAAAGTTTCGCTCCGAGCCAGTAGCGGCACAGTAAGTTTCACAGTAATTACATCATCGATCCGCGCTGGTCTCATAATAGGAACCGCTCGCGCCCAGATGTAACCGCGGAAGTTCACGCGCGCGCGAAGAAAGTAGCATCGGATAGAGCAGGGGTGGCGGGAGTGGGAGAAAGAGCGAGAAGGAAAGAGAGAAGCGAGGGTTGAACGAAGGAGTGTGTCGAATAACTTCCTAGAGGCGCGCCTGTCACGAAGCCCCGGGTCATTGGTCACCTCGTTCTTATCTCGCTATGTCTGCGGCCCATCTTGAAGGAAGCTTATGCGCAGAGAGCCGTTGTACGGTTCACCGTAAGCGGAATTAATCCATCTACCACCTTCGGGCTTATAGAAGCCGGTTGCCGCGGCAGTCGGAAAAAGCGCCAGAGACTTTCGGTCGACGATTATCGCGTTATTAGTCATCGCGGAGAAGGACGATCGTGAGACCGAGTATCGTGTGAGCGTTATATTCTTCGCAGATGTCGAATTCTTCCATCTCTTTCCCTGCAAATTCGCGTCAACTACGCGTCAATTGTATTCGTCGCTATACCGATCGCTCCGGCGATCTCTCGCGATTCTCTCCGTCGATTTTGCAGTAAGAACGCGTTAACTCGCGACAATAGAGAAATTGGATTATCCGCCAGAGGATGAGTCCAGTTAATGCCAAGCCATCGCTCATTGGGACAGCTTCCTTCTGCATAACGCCGTGATCCGATTCGCGCTTGGAATTTACGGCAAGGAGGGAAACTTAATGGCGGGATGAGTTAACGCCCCGGGGAAACACGGAGCCCCGAGTGCTCTCTCATCCTCCGGCAGCTCCGAGTCGCTTCCAGCCGCCGCGGCACGTTGAAATTTCCGCGTCGATGTCGGCGCGGGACTGTGTGTGGAAGCGATTGGCCCCGTGGAATCGTTTAATCCGGACCGAGGAGAGCAACGCTCGCCGGCCACGAGTCACGATCGTTACTTTCCTCCGAGACGAGATTCCCTTTGGAGAGAAATCCGAAACAATCGTCGGCACGCCCATCCACGTACACCTATGCACGCTTTGTGCGCGCTTTTCGTTAGGTAACCGGTAACAATGTTTCGTCGGGCGCATACAGATATCGTCTTAATGTAACGTAATAACCGTGAGGTATCGCTGTTATACGAGTTACTCCGGGCCGGTCTCGTCAAAGTCCTGGCGCGATCATCTCGCGCCCTCCACGCGAGCGTTTACGCGGAATTTATGCTCCCAGCGCACTTTTATCGCGACTTTATCGCGATCACGATGTTCTTGTTTCGTTCTCTTTCTAGTACAATTTTATTCAGTCAGCTTTTTATCGGGACTCTCTCGATAGCTTCTTCTCGGTCGAAGGTCGTTCCTTGATCCTCCTTCGCCGTTGCGCAGCTGGAAATCGCGAGTGTTGTTTAATGGAAATTCAAATACGACGCAATCTCTCTCTCTCTTACGCGCATATTCTCCTTCTTCTATTACAATTCCAATTCTGTAAATGCAACGTCGTATCATCCGACCCGTAGTATCACGAATTATCGTACCGTTTTCGTGCGAGACGCGCATTATAAGCCCCGCGCGTTATTTTACAAATTATCCCGAGATAATGGAAATTCTCGGTGGTTTTCTTCTCGCGTTGATGTTCCCGTCTCGATCGCGATCGCGGGTGTGAAGTGAGAATTTCACCGTGCGACTTATATCGTAATGCATGACAATCGCAGTCGCGACCGTTAGTTTTCGCAAATGAGATTCTCTTTGGACGATCTCAAATCTCAATCGCGGACACACCCGAGCAAGATCGTGATTTCATTTCCTCTGCTCTTCTCCTTTTGTTCCACGTTTCCGCATATGTGCTTCGTTCCGCTTCTCGCTGGAGGTTTTCCCCCTCGATCGCGTTTCCCATCTCCCGGTCTCTCGAGTAACGATCTGGAAGGCAACGACGACGCGGAGTACACCGGTACCCACGGTACTGATTACCTGCCATTCGTAGTTTCGAGTGGTGACTACCCTCGCTGCGGAAATTATGAAACCGGTCCATAATTGGAACTTGACTAATGACAAGTCGGGTCATTGCGTATATTATGGCCACGGATCGGCATTAGGTCTCTCTCTCCTTCTCTCTTGCGCACAGGCGCCGGACGCTTCACGGAACCGCACGAACGACGGCGTGCACGCGTTTCTCTCCTCTCCTCTTCTGCTCTCCACGTGGGAAAGGATGCATTAAAAGTGCATCAAACGGGAGGGAAGCGGCGAACGGCGGCGCTGCCGAAAGGCACATACGTTCGTCTGTCGAAATTAACACGGTAAAGGCGGACACCTCTGCTGCACTTTCGCAACGGAGATTAGTAGCAGTACGAGCTCCCAGCGGTGAAGCCCCGAATACAAATTATTAATATATTAATATCGTCTATTATTATATACTAAGAGGCGCGAGATGGAATTCGATAATCTATACTTTATAAAGTGATTCACAGTTTGAGATGGATATATCAAGATATAATTATTTTCATAATTATTTCACAAATATTTTTCATCAAAAAATCATTCACTGTTTATTTCCTACAAGTCTCAGGTTATTTTTATCGAATAGATAAAGTGAGAATTATGTACTGAAAGCACAAAAATGAAAAGATTTAGTAAAAGAAAAGCGCAAATGAGATATTAATAGGTTAACGAAGATATTAGACTATATACACGCGCGCAGATGTAAGACGCACGCTTGATTATGTACCGTACACAGTCACAGTGTCAGACAAGTACGTCGAGTCACCGTGCAAAATTCTGACGATCCCTTCTTATTCGCAGATGGGGCATAGAGGAGCGACGTGCGGCCAGCAGGAGCAGCAGTAGCGTTCAGCTATCGTCGGGGGCCTGATCGTCGGTCCCTGTCTCGACCCGATCTCGCGCGGGGGGACGCGGGGTCGCGGGGGTGCGCCGGTGCCGCGATGGCCGCAACGGACGGTCAGATCGTCGTTGCGGCGGCACGCTGGGCCGAGGAGGCGACGTACCTGCGCGAGTTCGTCTCCAAGTACCGTCTACCGGCCGTGATCAAGATCACCAAGGGCCAATATGGCGGGTTGGGCGTGCCGACGCTACCGGCGCCCAGCTTGCAGAGCACCGCGTTGCTCATATCGGCCGGTCGTCGGCGAAAGATCGTGGCGCAGGCGGTGAAGATCAAGGAGGGCCGCAGGGTGGTCGGCGTCGGGCCCAGACTGGCGATACCGGACTCATACGCGGGCTACTTCGAGATCCTAAGCGAGGAGGGTAGAGCGGTGCGCGGCATCGAGTCGGTAAACGAGCTGTCGCGAAGATGCCCGGAGGAAGGCGCGCTGGTGCGCGAGACGTTGCGTGGCATCGCTTGCCGGGTGGACGACGAGTCCGGTATCGTGGTGCCGGAGGGCACGAGGACCTTGTCGGCCGGTGAGACGATCGTCACCGCCGGTGAGGTCGCGCTACCCGGTAGGGGTCGATTCCTCCGCTGCGTGGACTGCCGCGGCGACAGCGTGCTCTTGGGGATGGAGCAACGCGGTCGTTTCAGCGCATTGGCGCGCGAGGACAACATCAGCGGCGTGCACACCGCCAGAGCGCTCCTCAGCAAACGCCTGCCGCTCACCGTGAGACTGGTGCACGGCCAGCCGCCGCGAGGGCTCAAGTCGTCGTCGCAGTTCGTGCCCGAGCTGAGGCTGCTGTCCACCTTCGAGGAGGAGCACGTGTTCGCGTTGCCGTTGCAGCGGGAAGGCGCGGCGGTCGCGTTACCGCTCGCGGCGCCGCTCAAGCTGGTCAAAGCGCGGAACGAGGAGGCCCTACGCTCCATGCAGGAGTTCACGAGGCTGGTGGAGCGCGCCTCTCGCTTGGTCGCCGATGTAGCTGACCGTGCGCACGTGTTGGACGGTCGTCTGGGTGAGAGCAAGCCCTCCAGGCAGACCAGGAGCGCGTCCGGCTTCCTCAGGCGGCCGTCCACCAACTCGGATCACGCGCCGCCGCTGGGTCACCATAGAAACGGCAGTGCCGGCCATCATCATCATCATCATCACTATCATAGCAATGGACATCAGGCGTCCAGTGGCCATGCGGGATACCGGGATGAGAACCGAGTGCCCCCGTCGTCCGCCTGTACCGAGGAGTACGACGAGATCGATCAGATATATGACTATGTGCGCGGCTTTGCGCCGTTGCCGAAGAGCGTGAGGTCGCCGTACGAAAGCCCTCTCGCTGCTGGCCAGGCCTCGACCCCGCCACTCACGCCGGTCACGGTGACGATCGCACCATTGTTGGACGACCGGCCGGAGCCGCCGCCGATCGAGACGATACCCACGAAGAAGATTCAGGCGGAGAAGCGGACTAGGCGCGCGGTTAAGGAGGCGCCGCAGCCCTCCAGGGTGGAGAAGCCGCCGTTGGCGAAGCTCTACGTGAAGAACAGCGGCACACAGCGCGGACGACCGCTAATGAGGCAGAAGAGCGCGTCGCCGTTGAAGGAAACGCCGCCGGGTTACAAGGGCGGCTCGCCGCTCTTCAACATACGCTACAAGAGTCTGACGAATCTCCAGCAGGCGATGGAGCTCGACGGCACGCTGGACTCCAGCCACTCGGGTGGCAGGACGTCGGGCGACTCTGGCGCAGGTGCTAAGCTGCCGGAAAAGAGGTAATCCTAATTCTATCGATCTCACGAAAGTAGCTCTTACTTACTTTTACTTCTCGCACGTTTAGGTGTTGAAACAAGTGCTCGGGAATAAAATACTACAAAACTTTTGTACAAAACATTTTTTTTTAATAAACACAATCCATTTTACCAAGTTTCTTTCGAAGGGTTGCTTCGACTAAAAAAAGTATAAATTAAAAATAGTTTTTTCCAAAATTTATCCTATCAAAATTGACGATAAATACTTTCGTATGTTTCTTCATCAGTTTTTAAAATAAAATTGCACCCTCCCTACATATCCATTTGCTCTACTAGAAATAATCGAAATATACGAAAATTGACCACATCTCTTATTAATATCGTTTGTGGGTATCTAGATCGAGACGTTTAAGCAGGCCGCGATCGTTGACAAATTTAGTCTGGGAGCTTCGAGGTGGAAGCGGCCTCGGCTGCACGAGACCGGAAACTCCGCCGCCCGCCACGACAGCACCGCTGCCACCGACTAAATGTGGGCCACGTCTGGCTGTCACTGTCGTGGCACCGCGACGTGTCGGCACGCTCTACCTCTAACTCGTAAGTACCGTCTCTTAAGTGCTTGTCGATGATCCGATGGATAATGTGCCACTCGAGGCAGTACATGGGAAATTGATCCCTCGAACAAATTCAATTTTTGTTCATTATGCATATGCATACTTGTCTATGTGTGTTTAACAAGGAAAACAAGTGTCCGTCTCTGATTTTCATGAACTTGTAATATGTTGTACTTTACATCAAAATAACAGATACGTTTTTTATTATACGTGCCCTTCCGCAAGTTTAGGGGGTGAAATATCCCTTTGAAGAAAATCAGTTTTTTTTTCATTTGAAGGGAATATAATGAAAAATATAAGAGATAGAAAAGAATATTTTGAATAAAAGTTGAATGGTTTAAAGAGTACTTTACAGAAATTGTTAAAAAAAATTTTTTTTGTTAATATTTCCCTCACATTTTTTCTTATTATAATTATTAAAATAATTTCTGTAAAATACTCTTCAAACCATTCAACTTTTATTCAAAATATTTTTTTCTATCTATTATAGTTTTCATTATATTCCCTTCGAATGAAAAAAAACCGATTTTCTTCAAAGAGGTATTTCATCCCCTAAACTTGCGAAAGGGCACATATAATAAAAAAACGTAGCTATTATTGTGATCTAAAGTACAACATATTACAAGTTCATGAAAATCGTAGGCGGACACTTGTGTGAGTTTCCTTGTAAGTGCTTTTAAAAAATGACATTGCGGATATTGTTTGAAAAGTTGGAAAGGAGGAAGGAAGGAGAAATTATTTTGCGATCGCAATCAATTTCCGGTATTCTCTTGAGGCTTCTTCCAAGAAACCAAATCGAAATTTCGGTTTTACATTGATCTTATTAATCCCATCGAACTTGAAGAACATTATATAGACTATTGTTCTACCTTGATGCAACAAAGTAGTTACTAAATGTTTTCCCTATATTGAATTGTCCTTAAAAAAGGAGTTCAATTTTATATATATCACAATATTATAATTTCTTTCTTATTCTTTTCATTGATTTACATTGTTGACATGTAAACATATAAAATATGTATCATTTATTGATGTTATTGCTGCACTATAGTGCCGTTTGACACACAAAAAATCTATATCGTTGTTCGTTCTGGTATTCTGTATCTCGGTCCTGGCTGCCTTGTCATGACATTTTGCAATTCGTAAAACTGACGTTTATATAGATACGATTTGTCCTGGAAAAAAACATAAGATTAATTGACACGATGTCACTGAGAGTTTGACTAAATATTTCAAAAGCCGACAATATATTTTGCGAAATGTGTAACGCTCGATAACGGTCGGTAACGCGGGAAAGTACACGTTGCGCTGTACAAAAACGATATCAAAATAACAGGCAGGAATGAGAACAAGGGAACTATTCCCTTCCATTACTCGGCAATCGTCATTGCTCGAGCGCCGAGTGTTTACAACACTCAAAACAGTCCGGACCTTGACGGGGGTTAGACGTATTCTCACACGCGACGCAGTTTTCCGAATATTTCGCCTCGAGTCGGCGAGGTACACATGTACACAGAGCACATGTGTCGGTGTATTATTTTCATTTCTATCGAGTGATAAAAATACTTCGTCGACTTTTGGATTATTTAATCAGACTCTTGTTACCGCGTTCTTTAACATTCATTTCTACGATCGAATCGCGCGAGTGTCACTGTCAGTGCCACGACGGAACAGTCAGGATTCTGAATAGGAAAGCCAAAATGATGGACGCCGCAAAGCGAGCAGCGATACATCATATATTTCAAGGTATGTCAAATCATTTGTTATGCAGCAAATTTCCGTTTTAACGAACATTTGACGAATTTACCGCAATAAAGAAATACCCGAGTCGAAATTTAGGCTGATATTCGTAGTCATTATTTGACAAATAATTGCTTTTAATTTATTTTATTACTTATTTATCTTTTATACTTTCATGTATCTTATTACATTATTTTATAAAGACTGATTCAAACAGCCAAATAATGTCTGAATTTTTCAAATCTATAACTAATTAGAGTCCTCAATCAAAGATTCTAAATAACTCACAACTATGATTACCGGCCTTGAAATATAATTTCGTAATTTCGCAATTGCTAATGTTAACGTTTAATAATGCTTCTTGAGTCGCGAGCACGATCTTGTTTACATTTGCCAACGTCTTTTTTGTTTTACGTGTTATTATGGAATTCAAATCTAAATTTATATTAATAAACGGCATTATTAGACACAATTGTTATTTTTGCTTTTACAATTTATCAGCTTTTTTTAAGATCTTCACCATTCATTGTTCCAAATGAAAAAAGATTTTATAAGAATAAAAATATCTTGTTTCTTTTTTCATCCATTTACCCTTTAACCTTTATTTATTTAATATTTGCTCTTATCTCCATATACACCATTTGCAGTTGAATAAGTTGTATAATTAATACATTATTGACTGAAATGAGAAGAATAAAGATTAAATGCAGGTGAAATATTGGGATAACCAGATATTAAGTAATTCTCATATGAGTTTAAGACTCAGCATAGAGAAAATGGTAATAAGTAATCGTTTGCATCAAAGTAGGACAATAACTTGTATAATGTTATAGATTCTTTATTGATTCTTCAAGTTTGACGAAATATGCAGGATTAATGTAGAATAAAAATTTCGACTCGGGACAAGTCGCGCGACTCTCGAGCATCAAAAATGAAACACTACAGTTTCCCAAGCACATCCTTTGAGCGTGATCTTCGTTTTCCGTATTCCATAGCCGCGAATGATACGCCGTCGAGCGAGAGGCGAGCAACTATTTGTCGAACGAGCAGACACGCACGTCGCAATTAACTATGTTGAGAGAATACCGGTTACGACGTAGTTACGGCGTACTTTGTCCGGGAAGGAGGACTGAATCGTTAAATTCGCGGGATCGACCCAGGATAGGCGGGACGATCTTTTAACAGAGCACTTTACTGGGCGTTGTAAAAGACGTGCCAGCTGTTTCCCTATTGCCATAAGTCCTTATTCATTTAATCGCCCTCCTCCCCCCAACCATCCCGCAGGACGCTCGCTATTTATAACGATATCTAGGAAATGCACTTGCTCAGGCGCGACTCAGGAAGTTCCATGATTACCATCAATTATGATTCACGAAGAAGTCAATTTTTACGAGGTAATCGATTTGCATGCGAGACACGCAGATTTTCGTAAGCTCGTTCAAGTCGCACGAAAACGCATACACTTTACGAGCAATTGCGCCGTGTCATTCTTCAACTCTCCGCGTCGATCTTCGCCGAAAATCGTCATCGCGCGATCTCTCTTCCTCGACGCTGAGAAATCAGAATGCGAAGTCCGCGATATCATCCGCGGGCTTGGAGGTCGCGTCGCAGCGGGTATTCGCGACACTTGGCATCGACATCCTCCGGCACCGTCGAACCGCGCACACGGACATCGGCGATATCGCACGGCCGTTTGCCGCGGCGACGGGTGAAGACGAGGTACGCGGCCGGATAATCTCTGCGGACGATCGTCTCGCTCGTTTCCCCGTCCGCTAATCCGCCGATGAAAATCGACAGCGACAGCGAGAGATTGAAAGCGTTTCCTCGTCACGGGCCTGCATTTGCCGTGGCGGGCGACGAGGCGTTTACGGGAGGAAGTCGAGAATCACAAAGCTTCCTGCTGCGTACATCCGCAATCCAGCCGAGATACCGGTTGGTATTCCCAAGCCGTGGAAATTAGCGAGGTTCGCGTAGGTTAATCTGCCGTGGCCTAACTCCTCTCTTTCTCTCTCTCGCTCCCTCTCCCTCCCCCTCTCTCTCTCTTTCTCCCTCGCTCTCTCTGCGGGTGCCGTTTAGCGGGAGACTCAGCTTCGCCTCGCGAGAAGACGGCCTGGAAGCTGACGAGAGAGAGAGAGAGAGAGAGAGAGAGAGAGAGAGAGGAGAGGAGAGGAGAGGAGAGGAGAGGAAGAGAGAACGAGGAGATAGTTCAACGGTGGACTGGCGGTGGACAGCCTCGGGGTATATAACGTCATCCTCGCTCGGTGCAACGCTATAATAGCCCTGGTTCGCCGCGGAGTCGCTCCGTGAGCGGAATTAAACGAGACCAGGTTCAACGGCTGGACAAACCGTGGCTTCCGGTCGTCGATGCCTTTTCTCCCTCTCCCTTTCGGCCCCCTTGCCCCGTTCGTTTTATCCGCAGTCCTCCGCCCACCTACTCGATCGCGTATTACGGAGATTATGATTGTGCGTGCCGCGATCTCATCGTCGCCGTCGCGAAAGCGAACGGCTTCCGATTACGCGATCGCGCGACAATCGCACGTCCGGCGAAGCCGATCAGCCGGAGTAAACCGGCAGGCGAACAGCTACCAAGATCGTTTGTACGCGTCCTCTTCGATACTCGCCGGGGGAATCTGCGTGATTAGTTTTCTATTAGTTATCCGTGATTAGCGTGGAAGCGAGAGTCGAACGACCGACCGATCGACCGGAGAAACCGGACCGCGAATGAAAGGAGAGTCACACGTGGGAAAGGCGCGAGAGCGTGTCGAAGAGTTGGACTCGTCGAGCTACCTCTTCTACGGAGGATCAGAGCGGTATTCGGATACCTCTGCGAATCTGCGCTTCTCGCGCTTCTGACATTTCGACGCATCGTCTTTCCCGACGCGACAAAACGGAACTCACCCGCCGTTCTATTCTGAATTATTCCGCCGTCCACTTGTCATTTGCGGCTACCCGCAGCGTGGCATCGCGCCCATTTCTACGTACATTTTAATGTCCGGGCACTAAACGCCGCGCTGAAAATTGCCGGGTGTCTCCCCGAGAAACGAGGGTGCCCATCATAACCGTCTTTCTTGGCCGCTAATTAATTAACGCGGATCGAAAACACGGTCTTCTCCCTTCTCTCCCTTTCCTCTCATCCTTACTTCTTCAATCTTTCTCTCTCTCTCTCTCTCTCTCTCTCTCTCTCTCTCTCTCTC